AATTAATAAATTCAAATATAAATACGATTAAGTTAAAGTTTAAGAAGTTTGAGTTTAAACTTAAACTTTATTAAAAAACTTATGAATCCTCGCGATATAAAATTAAAAAAAACAAATTGATTCGAGTTAAATTAAATAAACTTCTCACAATAATAGAATGATATAAGTAAAAATTTTCTCGGGCATTGTAATACATATATACTAATATTTTCGCTATGTATAAATAACAAATAAATACAGTAAAATGACGGAAAACAAATCTAATTATTGTTAATAAAATGTTCAATTAAAAAACATAAAAACTTCAGCGTTATTTCATACATTTCATCCTCGTGTGATCCAACTATAAGTAATTTTTTAATCTTGTTATTTTTAATCCAAGTATTGATTTGATCCTTGTTTTGCTCGGTTTGTTCAGGATTATCTTTAAGATTAATAGTTATCCTTGTTTTTTCATTAAGTCCATCAAAATTCTTTTCATAATCAAAATCAAATTTTGATGTGATTAAGATTAGAATACCATCTGCTTTTTCATAAAGCATTTGATTTCTATAAGAATATGAATCAGAATTTAATCCTTCAAGATGGTATTTTTTTGGTAAATATTCTTCTTCATTATATATTCCTTTTAAATAATATCCATCATAATCAAATTCTCTGTTTTCAACAGCATTTAAAACACCTCTTTCAACACCTCTCCTATGTCCAACAATAATAGTTTCAAGCATAATAAAATATAAAGATATTTTTTGTAAAAAAAATTATCAATAATATATATAATTTAAACAATATGAAAAGATTTTAAATTCTTTTCAGGCTGAAAATTTTATTTTAATTAAGTAAAATTTTAGATGATCTATAAATTTTAAACATGTTAATTTTTTTAACGAAACTAAAATAATTTTAATATTATCCTGTTTTTAGTAATAATTTGGTATATTAATTATTTTAAAAATATTACAATTTAGATAATTATAAATAATTTATTCATACAATAATACTTAAAACATTAAAATGGTTTAAATTATTTTTATAAAATTCAAACTCCGAATGATAAAGTAGTATCAGCTGAAATATATATAATACTA